GTTATCTCATCCACTTGGTCTGCAGATGCTCCATACACAAGCATCTGCAACGCAGCAGTGATTTTTAGCTCAGGCAGGAGACCCATAACACCACAAGCATCATTCTTTTGCAAAAAGTAAGAATCATGGTTGCAAACATCAGTCATGATTCTGTTGAACAAATGTCGTTCCATTCTAAAACGGCGTCTGAAGTACGTATCAGGAAATGCACTGTTATGGACAAAGTAATCGTCCAACAGCTCTTCACCCCGTCGTTGCCTGCTTCTATCAATGTTTCTTGAACGGTTGGGCCTGCATATCTGAGCAACAGTCTGGATGACTCGACGGGAATGTGAGGCTCTGGCCATTCTTGTTTCATCATCTCTCATTCTACGCTCCTCATCCTCTTCCATCTCATTTTCGGCTATCTGAAGGTTGAACATTCCTTCAGATTGGTTAAACAATTCCTCCTCTTGCTGATCGATTTCCCACATCATCCTTGATGAAGAAGAAGACATTGTAAGGATGGATGGTGAAGAAGAAGCAGAAATTATGAATAATGAGATAGAGATGTTGAGAAAATTGGTGTGAGATTGGTGAGAATGGATGGTGGATTATATAGACGATTCAGAAAAGGATCGGATTGTAGATGAGGCCACGTGGCATGCCGTCATTCGTTAAAAATCTAATCAAAATCTATCCTAAAAGATTCTGAAAAGATAATGACACATGGCACGATCGTATTGGATAAAAATCTTATCGAAATCGATCTCCAATAATTTTATATTTTCGGATAATGACACGTGGCGCAATTTTGAACGAGTTAAAATTTGATCAAAATCTATCGTCAAAGATTCTCAAAAGATAACGACACGTGGCACGATGACATTGGATAAAATTCTTATCGAAATCGATTTCCAATAATTATCTTTTCGGATAATGACACGTGGCGCAATTTTGAACGAGTTAAAATCTGATCAAAATCTATCGTCATAGATTTTCAAAAAATAACGACACGTGGCACGATGACATTGGATAAAAATCTTATCGAAATCCATCGCTAAATAATTGTTTGTTTTTATAAAATGACACGTGGCGCAACGAGAACGATTTAAAAAATCTTATCCGAAATTACAAATAATTTTATTTTGTATTATTTAAACAAACAAAAAAACTAATATTTATTGCCTATTGCCTGGGGGGAGGGCTCCAAGGGTGGAGATACAAATGGCAATTATTGTTCATTAATGGCAGTTACTATTCATTTAAGGCAGTTGTTCAAAATGGTGGATTCAATAGTGGATTGCCAGGGGGAAAGGCTCCATGGGTGGAGTTGCTCTGAGGGGGCATGAACCTCAACTTCTTCAGTCTTGTCACTGGCATAAGGCAATAAAAAAATTAAATATACACATCATAATATGAGTGAACTGGTAATAATATATTTACTACAAATTTCCGTTCTTTTTAAATTAGCTATCTCTTTTGCATAATAGAAAGCAATATATATTGAACAATGTAGATAAATTACTAAAATTCTCTACAAGAATATGTTGAGGTGACTAGAGGTATTGATGTAATATACACACACAGAGACACACACACACACATATATATATATATACACATATTTATATATATTGAATAGTGAAGATATATAACAAAAATTCTCGACAAGAATATATTGAGGTGACTAGATGTATTGATGTAATATATATTCCAAGAGGAAAAGCAAGAAAAAGGCATTCCAAGGTACAAAAATTAACCCATTTATCCCAACATGCGACCCCATGAGAATTCCATCCAACAATAATACTACGGCATTTTTCATGATTTGAGACGTGTCATCCGTCAAATGGTGGCATGGAAGATGGAACATCGCTTTAGCATGATTGGACTTGCTTGCATGTGCACGTTGATCGACATTTTTTTTTTTCAATGATGAACGAATTTGGAAAACGTATAGAACTATAAGTTAGAAGTGGTAATAAATCAATTTTGAAAAAGAATAGTCGTCAAATTAACATTTGATATTTATCTTTTGATATTTCTATTAAAGATGCTTTTAGATGAGTTTTATTTTCCGATTCAAGGGATGAATGATCGATGCAGGAGTTGAATTCTTTGGAATTTTAAAACTCCCCTGCACGGAAAGGGAACTTTTTTTATACAACTTTTTAAAAATCCTTGTTTTATTGCCCCATGATATACGATTTTGTTGACTATAATTGCACAAATAATGCATACACAGAGTTTCTTAACACAGTTGAGAACATTTTACGTATAGTTCCATAAGGTGATAACAGAATATTTTTAAAACTGTAAAGTTAACCAACAAAATGAAAGTATAGATTCATTGGCTTTGTACTTCTCTAGTTTCTCCTAACGCGGGAGTCGGGGTTGGAATTGGAGTGCTCGAAATGTGCAATATATTCTAGTCTCACTTAATTGAGATGGGACAATTGAAAATCAGAGTACGTATAATGAACAGGCTAACAAATCGAAGATTAAATGAACATAAATTTTAGAGTAGTGCTATTCACATACAATAGATAAAAATTAATAAGAGTGTATGAGAGATAAAATAGGTGTATGGATAACACTATCCTAAATTTATTAACTAGAAAGATATTGTAACGACGGCTACAAACTAGAAAACTACATTGTGATTAACTGATTATTCCACAAGTTATAAAGTACCATATTTATAGAGAAACTTAAAGCAAACCCTAATCTTTAACGGGCAAGAAAACATATACTTAGGGCCCGTTTGTTTTGCTTCACTAGGTTTCACTGGACTAGACTGGACTAGCTTTTAGTCTAGTCCAGTGTTTGTTATCATGCGGGGCTAAGATTAATGAGATTAGCTCGGACTCGCCGGGACTAGCAGCGTCACTAGAGGTTCTTAGCTAGAGTCCCCGAAAACCATGGGACTAGCTAAGACTTGCTTCGTTCCTCTGTCGCTCGTCTGCTTCCCTTCGCTAACTCCACCAGAAAACGGGTTTGATTTTTCCAAAAAAAAGCTCGATGACTCCGCCGTTGAATCACCGCGTGTCTTGCCGCACATACATCGGAAAAGCTTGGACTTTCACAACCTCCGCCGTTGAATCGTTGACTCAACACACCAACTCCCCCAACATGTCTCAAATCGTCAGGCTCCAACTCCGAAAAGAGTCTGGGTCGGCTGGATCTTGGGCCTGGGAAGATGACAGTGAATTGACAAAAAAACAAAAAAAAAGAAATACAAAATTGCTCAAGACTTTGGGTCCTTCTTGGAAGCTCAAGTGCATGAGAATTAGAGCAAGTTTCTTCATTTTCTACGACTTGAGATAGGAGGCAGAGAGGGAGAGCGTAGAGAAAGAGGATGAGGGCGGGACTAAGAAAAATGAGGAATAAAAACAGAGGTTGATGGACGGAGAGGTTTCTAGAATTAGGAATAAATTATGAATTAAACTATATAATATTAGAATTTATTATTATTCTGCTTCTTAGTCCGACACTGCACCAAACGCTTCACTAAGCTAGTCCAGCTTAGTCTAGTCTAAGCCAGTCCAACTTAGTCCCTAAAACTAGTCCAGTCCAAGACATTCCGGTGCAACAAACGCACCCTTAATGTGCAAAGAATTCTAATTCTAGCCCACAAAGGAAAAAAAGCAATAATACTAAAACTAATTTTCCAACCGGGATTTGGATCCATTAACAAGGGGCAGTGGGACTAATCAAGCTTAGATTACTTAAGATCTTAGCAAACTTTTCGCATCACAAAATTATCTTTGGGCTGCCAATCACCTTATCTACTTGAGTATCGATGCCCATATTTTGTGGTACCTTTTAGTTTCAGCCCATTTTTGACATTGACAAGTTCTCCACATTCAAGACAAAAACGAAAAAGAAAGCTTTCCGATCTCTTTCACCAAATTCATCAAATTCACTAATCTGGACCTTTAAAATTTGATTCAACAACTAAAGTTATTATAATTTTTAAAAGGAATCTCTATTTTTAGTCGTTTGATCGAATTTCAAGAACTCGAATTAATGGATTTGGTGTAAGGGATCCGGACCCTTTCCACATAATGTAACGGAACGTCCTCCCTTCCATGAGTTTTTGGCCCATTGGGAAGATGGGGAAGAAAAGAGATCATTTTTCTTTGTTTTGTTCCAACTGATCAATTAATCAATCTTGTATTTAATATACCTATCAGCTCGAATCTATGGGACCATAATACATATGCCACATTAAGCACCCTGTATGTAGTTGAGAACATTGATTCATATGTGTTTATCTTTCTCATCATGTTAACTTCAAGGTTAAGGGGCTGGTCTAGTAAAAAGTGAACAAAAGTTAGGAGCTCCAATCCGAGTTCAAACTTTTATAGATGCATATTTGGACCACCGGCTTTGCTTTTGCATACACTATGACCCGAGAATCAAATTTATGATGCCACCTTATATGGTACTGAGACTGCATGGTAAAATACCTCCTATATTAGAAAAAATCTCTCTCATCTTGTTTTAATTGAGAAAATTTATCGTTTCATCATCCCTCATTAAATCAATAACATAATTAATAATAACATAACATCTCTCATTAATACGTTGTAACACATCATCTGATGAAAAAGATAAACACCTAATTACATGCATCATATGCCACCCAAAAATCGCTCCAATACTTTTGTGTGTTGACTTCACACACCCATGCCATCGATGAACCATAAGATTCCTAGTGTTTGACCTTCCTACACGTGCACAAATTAATGCAAAGAATATTCATCTTATAATATTTTCCTAAGTTATCAGTTTTCACATTTCTTGATTCAAGCCCTAATTGTAATTGGATTCTTTAGAACATTTTACAAGAGTGTTAGGTATTGCATGAAATTATTAATCACATAACTAACAAACAAACAATTGGGATAATCATAATTAGGACGACTAAGCAAGTATTTGGACGTACTAAACAGTCTCTGCATGTTCTTCCGAAACATGACATTTGGAGTCAACTACTAAGTTCTCTGTTTGGTTTGAAACCTCCACAGCCAATATGGGCCGAAGCCGAAGGACCAGTTGGAAGTATTCAGCAGCAGAAGAAAACCAAACTCTCCACCTTTTTATCCTCAAAAGAGTTTCAATCAACGATGTCCTCAAAAACCAGGAACAGGAATCTTCCTGGAACTTGGAAGCTTCGCCAATGTGAACTCTTCAGATTATGAGTCAGAGTCTTCCCTGGAGGATATTTCTGTAACTTCTTCTTCTTCCTTGGATTCCGGAGCAGAAATTGAGGTAATGATTTTTCCGATGTTTACAAGAACACAGAACATAAACTCTGGTTTGATATTACCATGTTTGTTTTTTTTTATATATATATATTTTAATTCTTATGTTTTTGGTTTTTAATGTGTTGTCTGTTTTCTGAGTTTTTGTAGGAAAACAACAGAGAATGGAATTGTTTGAGGCTACACAGAGCCAAATTCAGAAGCTAAAGCATCCCGCTTCTGCAGAATCGAGCAGGTATGTAACCATCAAACCTCTCTGGATTTTGAGTATATCTATTTGGTATTGAAAGTATTGAAAAATCATCAGACGTTAGCCTCACATTATCGATTTCTTCGCAGAAAGTTTTGGATTTCTTGTTGTTTGTTAGTTCTCCAGAAACTCCGCCTATGTCTTACATGGCCGGTCCCAAGCCCGGATAAAGGAGGAGGGGGAGGGCGTCAGGTAGTCGACAGCCGGCACTCCATGATCACGTCGAATCCTTATGAAAATGAATCCAGAACAAAATCGCGCTAAAGCTAGGGCGTCACCCGTAAGTGGCGCGCTGTGTGGCCCGAGCACAGTGATAAGTGAGCAAGGGTCGCTGTATCTCCATCGGCACCCGGATGCAGTGTTAAATGAGCAAGGGGGCCATAGAAACTTCTTTTCGAACGACTCCACTCAAAGTTGTTTGGGAGCATATGCTCCTATCAACTTTACCCGGGACACACAAAAGAAGTACTTTGATCCTATTAGACGGGGGAGGGTGAAGAAGCTAGGACAGAAGGGTAGAGTTCAAGAGAGCAAAATGCGTTTAGGAACGTGGAATATAGGAACCTTAACGGGAACGGGAAAATCTATGGAAGTAGTGGAAGTTATGGTGAGGAGAAGGATAAATATTATGTGCCTACAAGAAACTAAGTGGGTTGGTAGTAAGGCAAAGGATCTAGAAAACTCAGGGTTTAAACTTTGGTATTCGGGCACAAAATAGAACGAGAAACGGTGTTGGCATCATCGTGGACAAGACCTTGGTACAAGATGTTGTAGATGTCAAGAGAGTAGGAGATAGAATCATGGCAATCAAGATTGTAATAGGACAAGAACTTATCAATGTGATTAGTGCGTACGCACCTCAAGTAGGGTTGGATACGAGTTCGAAGGAGAAATTTTGGGAAGACCTTGGAGACTTGGTGCAAGGAATTGCTCAGACGGAGAAGTTATTTATAGGAGGAGATTTAAATGGACACGTGGGCAGGGAGACAGGCAACTATGGAGGTTTTCATGGTGGCCATGGTTTTGGGGAGAGAAACGAGGATGGGGAAGCCATCTTGGATTTTGCAATGGCATATGATCTCTTCTTAGCCAACACCTTCTTTAAGAAGAGAGAAGAACATGTGATCACCTACAAGAGTGGGTCGTCAAAAACACAAATAGATTTTCTTCTAATGAGGAAAGGGGATCGTATAACTTGTAAGGATTGCAAAGTTATACCAGGAGAGAGAGCGTGGCTAATCAACATCGCTTATTGGTGATGGATGTACATATCAAAAGAGTAAGACAAAAGAACAAGACTTGGAAGTGCCCAAGGACTAGATGGTGGAATCTAAAAGAAGAAAAACAAGCCATTTTCAAAGAGAAGGTAATCACCCAATGTGTGTGGGATAGAGAGGGGGAAGCTAGCCAAATGTGGGATTCCATGGCTAGTTGTATCCGAAAAGTAGCAAAAGAGGTATTAGGAGAGTCCAAGGGCTTTGCCCCACACCAAAAGGAATCTTGGTGGTGGAATGAGGAGGTACAAACAAAGGTGAAGGCTAAGAAGGAATATTGTAAAGCCTTATACAAGGAGAGGACCGATGAAAATGGTGAAAGGTATAGAAAAGCGAAGCAAGAGGCGAAGAAAGCTGTCAGAGAAGCTAAGTTAGCGGCTTACGACGATATGTATAAACGACTAGATACCAAAGAAGGAGAGTTGGATATCTATAAACTATCTAGAGCAAGGGAAAAGAAGACAAGGGACCTAAACCAAGTGAGGTGCATCAAGGATGAGGATGGAAAGGTTCTTGCTACAGAGAACGCGGTTAAAGACAGATGGAGAGGTTATTTTCATAATCTTTTCAATGAAGGACATGAAATGAGTGCTTCTTTAGGGGAGTTGAGTAACTCAGAAGAGTGTAGAAACTACTCTTTTTATAGTCGAATCCGGAAGGAAGAAGTGGTTGTAGCTTTGAAGAAGATGAAGCATAAAAAAGCAATAGGCCCAGACGATATACCAATCGAAGTGTGGAAACTTTTGGGAGAGACAGGTATAACATGGCTCACTGACCTTTTCAATAGGATTTTGAAAACGAAGAAGATGCCAAATGAGTGGCGAACGAGCACTTTGGTGCCTATCTACAAGAATAAGGGCGACGTACAAAATTGCATGAACTATAGGGGTATTAAGCTAATGAGTCATACAATGAAGCTCTGGGAGAGAGTCATTGAGCATAGATTGAGGCAAGAGACACGGGTTTCGGACAACCAATTCGGGTTCATGCCAGGGCGCTCAACCATGGAGGCAATCTATCTCTTACGAAGATTGATGGAAAGATATAGAGATGGGAAAAAGGATTTACACATGGTCTTTATAGATTTGGAAAAAGCGTATGATAGGGTCCCAAGAGACATTCTTTGGAGGATTTTAGAGAAGAAAGGAGGAGTACGAGTAGCATATATCCAAGCTATAAAGGATATGTATGAAGGAGCAAAGACTGCCGTAAGAACTCATGAAGGACAAACCGAAAGCTTTCCCATAACTGTAGGATTACATCAAGGCTCATCCTTAAGTCCTTACCTTTTTGCGTTGGTAATGGATGAGTTAACAGGACATATTCAAGATGATATTCCTTGGTGTATGCTTTTCGCAGACGATATAGTGTTGATAGATGAAACTCAGGAAGGGGTAAATGCAAAGCTTAACCTTTGGAGAGAAGTGTTGGAATCTAAAGGTCTTCGCCTAAGCTGATCAAAGACAGAATATATGGAGTGCAAGTTCAGTGCAAATGGAGGCCAAAACGAGTTAGGGGTGAGGATCGGAGATCAAGAAATACCCAAAGAGCGACCGTTTTCGTTACCTAGGATCTATCTTGCAAAAGAACGGAGAATTAGATGGGAGATCTCAACCATAGAATACAAGCTGGATGGATGAAGTGGAAGAGTGCATCCGGCGTGTTATGTGACCGCCGTATGCCACTGAAGCTCAAGGGAAAATTTTATAGGACGGCAATAAGCAAGACCGACGATGCTGTGTATGGCACAGAATGTTGGGCGGTGAAACATCAACACGTACACAAAATGGGTGTAGCGGAGATGAGGATGCTTCGTTGGATGTGTGGGCACACGATAAAGGATAAGATTAGGAATGAGGATATCCGGGGTAAAGTAGGAGTAGCCGAAATTGAAGGAAAGATGAGAGAAAATCGGTTACGGTGGTTTGGACATGTGCAAAGAAGGCCTACTGACGCTCCGATTAGAAGATGCGACTATGGGACAGAGGTTCAGGGCCGAAGGGGTAGAGGAAGACCTAGGAAAACTTTGGAAGAGACTCTAAGAAAAGACTTAGAGTACTTGGATCTAACGAAGGACATGACACAGGATCGAGCACAATGGCGTTCTAAGATTCATATAGCCGATCCCATTCAGTGACTTGGATTTTCCAAGTCTCCAACCGAGAAGTTTTCCTCACTCGGAAAATTAAGGGAACACAACCCCAACCTACATGCTCCACTCAGAAAGCTTCAACATACAAGCTTCAACAAAAGAAAATTCAAAGAACTTAGCGAAGAAGGCTTTGGTGTTTTTAACACAGTACGTTGAAATGAAGGAAAGCTTATTTATTGATATCCCCAATAAGCTACAAATATGTACATATACATGAGTCAAAATAAACACACAAGAGGGAGCCTTCATAAAGGTTGCTTAGGAGAAGTCTCAGCAGTCGGTAGAGCCCCAGAAAGAGAAGGCACCGGAGGGGGATCATTTGGAGCCTCAGTACTGGACAGAACCCTAGAAGGAGGAGGCATCAGAGGTTGATCATTTGGAGCTTCATTACGCGGTACAGCCCCAGAAGACGAAGGCAATAAATGCCTTTGGAACAAACCCACAAATCTCTGATGATCAAGTAAAACCTGACCATCAGTTTCCTTCATCTGGTCAAGCTTCCTCTTCATGTTTGTAGCATAGTCATGTGCGAGCCGGTGCAACTGTTTATTCTCATGCTTGAGCCCTCTAATCTCCTGTTTAAGACTCATCACTTCAGCCGCCAATGATTCAACTTGGCGGGTTCGAGCAAATAGGCGTTGGGCCATATTAGACACAGAACCTGCACACTGAACACTGAGAGCCAGCGAATCCTTAACAGCTAACTCATCAGACCGTTTGGAAAGTAGTCTGTTATCTTTGGGAGTGAGAAGGTTCCTGGACACCACCGCAGCGGTCATATCATTCTTCATCACGGAATCCCCAACGGTAAGAGGACCAGTAGGGGAGACGAAGGATGGGCGCCATATGTTGTCTGGAGAAGGCGGGGCTGCCTCTTCAACAAGGTTCAAGTCAAAACGACGGTCGGAGGGGCCAGACATTTTCAAAGTTGTTGAAGAGAGAAGAGGTCGGACAAATCAAGATCTTAGAAGTGCAAGAATGAAGCTTCTACTGGTGGAGATTCAAGTGTGCTTTGGAACTTAATGCCAGCCCCTATAAAAATCTGCACTCGACGGAGCTTCAGAAATCGAAGAGGCGCCTGCTCAGAAATCGAAGAGGCGTTTTGCTTTCTCAAAAAGCTGGGCTGCTTAGAGATCACGAGGGTTGATCTCAGAAATCGAAGAGGCGTTTGCTTTTCTCAAAAGTTGGGCTGCTCAAAGACCACGAAGGCCGATCTCAAAAATCGAAGAGGCGCTCGCTTTCTCAAAAGCTGGGCTACCCAGAGACCACGATGGCCGATCTCAGAAATCGAAGAGGCACCTACTTTTCCAGCCTTGTCAGCACCTGTCACACGCACACTCAGCTTTGCGGAAATTATGGGCATTCTGTCGAAGACTTCTGGGGAAGTAGAAAACACATGAATCTTACTGTTCAATCACCCACTTCCCACACGCAACAATAGCTCATGGGTACCACAGATAACTTTGCCAAAGTTGAGCACGTGAAGCTTGCAGCTCCCACTACATCGCTCTGACCAAGAAGGGTAAAAGAATAGCAAAGAAACAGCACTAACAAAGTTTCGACCCATAAATTTTAAAGGTCTAGCTACCATATTATTACCCACAAGGGTAAAGGAACAGTACCACTGCTGGATAATTGGAAAGTCCCTGTGTGTCAACCTCTGTGCTTCGTGGCAAGGTAGACTAGCAAACATGCCCAACCTTTACTCACATTCGAGAAAACACTCCCAATAAGATTGCTTGCTCCAAAATCGAAGAGGCACCGTCCTCCGAATCTCGAGAGCCAGACTCCCAACATGACTACTTTTCTTAAAAAATCGAAGAGAGGGTAAAGGAACAGTACCATTGCTGGATAATTGGAAAGTCCCTGTGTGTCAACCTCTGTGCTTCGTGGCAAGGTAGACTAGCAAACATGCCCAACCTTTACTCACATTCGAGAAAACACTCCCAACAAGATTGCTTGCTCCAAAATCGAAGAGGCACCGCCCTCCGAATCTCGAGAGCCAGACTCCCAACATGATTACTTTCTCAAAAATCGAAGAGACTGCTCCCCGAATCTTCGAGAGCCAGACCCCCAGCATGATTGCTTTCTCAAAAATCGATGAGGCATCGTTCTCCGAATCAATCGAAGAGGCGCTCGCTTTCTCAAAAGCTGGGCTGCTCAGAGACCACGAGGGCCGATCTCAGAAATCGAAGAGGCACCTACTTTTCTAGCCTTGTCAGCACCTGTCACACGCACACTCAGCTTTGCAGAAATTATGGGCATTCTGTCGAAGACTTCTGGTGAAGTAGAAAGCACATGAATCTTACTGTTCAATCACCCACTTCCCACACGCAACAATAGCTCATGGGTACCACAGATAACTTTGCCAAAGTTCTCTGCCAAAGTTGAGCACGTGAAGCTTGCAGCTCCCACTACATCGCTCTGACCAAGAAAGGTAAAAGAATAGCAAAGAAACAGCACTAACAAAGTTTAGACACATAAATTTTGAAGGTCTAGCTACCATATTATTACCCACAAGGGTAAAGGAACAGTATCACTGCTGGATAATTGGAAAGTCCTTGTGTGTCAACCTCTGTGCTTCGTGGCAAGGTAGACTAGCAAACATGCCCAACCTTTACTCACATTCGAGAAAACACTCCCAACAAGATTGCTTGCTCCAAAATCGAAGAGGCACCGTCCTCCGAATCTCGAGAGCCAGACTCCCAACATGACTACTTTCTCAAAATCGAAGAGAGGGTAAAGGAACAGTACCATTGCTGGATAATTGGAAAGTCCCTGTGTGTCAACCTTTGTGCTTCGTGGCAAGGTAGACTAGCAAACATGCCCAACCTTTACTCACATTCGAGACAACACTCCCAACAAGATTGCTTGCTCCAAAATCGAAGAGGCACCGCCCTCCGAATCTCGAGAGTCAGACTCCCAACATGATTACTTCCTCAAAAATCGAGAGAGACACTGCTCTCCGAATCTCGAGAGCCAGACCCCCATCATGATTGCTTTCTCAAAAATCGAAGAGGCATCGTTCTCCGAATCTCGAGAGCCAGATACCACATACCACTTTTTTCAAAGTGCTCTGACAGAGTTAAAACATGTGAAACTGGCAGCTCCCACTACCGTGCTATGACCAAGCAGGGTAAATGAATAGCATTACTACTTGTTGTTAGGGAGACTCCTATATATGTCGACCTCCATCCCCAACGGACAGGCAGACCTGCAAAAATGCTCAACCCTTCATCATATCTGAGAGGGCACTCCCAACGAAGCCTTTCGAAATATTCAGCTTTCTTTCCCCCCGATAATACCTCTGCAAACAAGCTATACTAGAGCAAGAATATCTCATATCATCAGGGTTAAAAGCAAGAGTATCCCATATCATGCTTTTTCCCTGTCTTTTCCTTTGGCCTTGTTTTTTACCTGCAAGACAAGGAGAAAGAGAGCAATCAGTCAGCACTTGGAATCAAGCTTCCAGCCAGGAACTGACTGCCTGGAACCCCTTACCTGATTACTTACCTGGCATTGCTCTCGAGTACTCATCTTCAACATCTTATGTTTCCAGGAAAGATTCCGCATCTGCTTGAGGAACAGATAGGGCAAATGCGAAGGATACAAGGAAGCATGTGGAGACAAGCGTAACAGCACACGTGCCGATACATCCATTACTCTGTCAAAAGCAAAAGTATCCCATATCAGCAGGGTGGAACGTACTCTAGATTTGATGGACTTGTTTTGACCCTCAAATTCTCCAGTCGGCCTTATACTTTGGAGGAAACCAGAAAACCCTTCAGCTCAGTTCAAGAATAAGCCTGTGGAAAGTTTACTTCTTCAAAAGCAAAAAGTATCTCATATCATCTCTTCTCATTTTTTCTTCTCTTTATCCTTCATGCTGCTGCAAGATGGGGAGAAGGTGAACAATCAGTCGGAGCTCTGATTGCTTACCTTGTCTGTCACCTCTTTCAGCAGACCCCCTAGCTCGGCGACTTGGGGGACTCCTACTACATGGTTTGTATCGCGCTTGACCAAGCCTGAAACTACAAGTAAGCTTCAAGTGAAATTGATACATTACCTTGTGCATCTCCACCAGTTAAAGATACCACCCCTGGATGGAGGAAGAGTACTTCCAGAGAAGATGCCACATCTACCTATGAGACAGATAAGGCAAGTCAAGACGACACCACACTCCGATACTTAGAAGTTTCGTGATTACGAGATCATTCTCCCATAATATTTCCTAATGTCATTTGTAATAAATCATTCACTTGTACTCACTAAAGGAGAGCTTGAACCTATGTACTTGTGTAAACCCTTCACAATTAATGAGAACTCTTCTATTCCGTGGACGTAGCCAATCTGGGTGAACCACGTACATCTTGTGTTTGCTTTCATATCTCTATCCATTTATATATTTATCCACACTAATGACCGGAGCAATCTAGCGAAGATCACAAAAAAAGCGACCGTTTTCGCTACCTAGGATCTATCTTGCAAGAGAACGGAGAATTAGATGGAGATCTCAACCATAGAATACGAGCTGGATGGATGAAGTGTAAGAGTGCATCCGGCGTGTTGTGTGACCGTCGTAGGCCACTGAAGCTCAAGGGAAAATTTTATAGGACGGCAATAAGGCCAGCGATGTTGTATGGCACAGAATGTTGGGCGGTGAAGCATCAACACGTACACACAAAATGGGTGTAGCGGAGATGAGGATGCTTCGTGGGATGTGTGGGCACACGAGAAATGATAAGATTGGGAATGAGGATATCCGAGGTAAAGTAGGAGTAGCCGAAATTGTAGGAAAGATGAGAGAAAATCGGCTCCGGTGATTTGGACATGTGCAAAGAAGGCCGACTGACGCTCCGGTTCGAAGATGTGACTACGGGACAGAGGTTCAGGGCCGAAGGGGTAGAGGAAGACCTAGGAAAACTTTGGAAGAGACTCTAAGAAAAGACTTAGAGTACTTGGATCTAACGGAGGACATGACACAAAACCGAGCGCAATGGTGTTCTAGGATTCATATAGCCGACCCCACTTAGTGGGAAAAGGCTTTGTTGTTGTTGTTGTTGTTAGTTCTCCAGACCGGCTGATCATGGCAGATTGTCATAACAATTCTGTTGGGGGAAAAGTATATACACCTCCCAAGGATTTTGTGTGTCCCATTACTAGCACTTTGTTTGATGATCCCGTGACACGGGGCAGACATATGAGCGAAAAGCGATCCAGGAGTGGATTGAAGGAGGGAACTCTACGTGCCCAATTACGCGCAAGAACTTGCACAGCACTCAACTGCCTAAGACCAACTATGTGCTCAAAAGGCTTATTGCAAGCTGGCAAGAACAGAATCCTAATGCAGTGTTGAGCCAATCGGAGAGTACAAGCCCATTGATTAAAGCCGGTTGGGAAGGCCATAATGCGTTCAACTTCTCCTGACAGTGTTATAATCCAAGGCGGGTTTGAGGGCGTAGTTGGCGAGTTAAGACTTGCCATTAAGAACCTTTGTATGTCAGAAATTCTCAAGGAGTCCGAAATGGCTGTTCTTCAAATTGAGCGGTTCTGGCAGGAGGCAAATGTGGAATGGGATATTCAGAATTTGCTCACGAATCCTCCAGTGATCAACGGTTTTGTGGAGGTTCTTTTCCATTCTGTTGATCCCAGGGTCCTGTTAGCTGCAGTTTTTCTCCTGTCTGAGCTGGGGTCAAGAGACAATGCTGTGATCCAGACGCTAACGCTCGTTAATTCTGATGTCGAACGCATTGTGGCGCTTTTTAAAAAGGGGTTGGTGGAGGCTGTGGTGTTGATATATCTGTTGAGGCATTCGATCCTGAACCTAATTGAGATGGACATGGTGGAGTCTCTCTTACTAGTTATCAAAAGGAAAGGCGATGATTTGCTTAACATGTGTCTAAAGCCGAGAACAGCTGCAGTGGTTTTACTCGGGCTGATTCTTGGTGGCAGTGGAGAGGGTATTGCCTCTTCGATTGTTAACACAGTAGTATCTGAAAAAGCGCTTGAAACAATTATTAGCAGTTTGGAATCTGAATCAATCGAAGAGAGGATTGCAGCAGTTAGGATCTTGTTGAGATGTATGCAGCAATATGGAAGGTGCAGGAACACAATAGCTGATCAAGGTGAGGTGGCTCCTGTTTTGGATAGCTTTGTCGGCGCAAGTGATGGAGAAAAATTTGAGATTGTTCACTTTTTCTTCGAGTTAGTTAAATTAAACAGGTATATACATCTCAATTCTCAAGTTTACTCATGTCTATCCAATTTTTCTATGATTGTAGAACTTGAGCTAGAGTGACAGATTTAATTAAATCTTCGTGTTAGACAGAAGGACATCTAATGAAAAAATCCTGCATATCATAAAGGATGAAGGCCTTCTCAGCACAATGCACACCCTTCTTATTTATCTGCAGACTGCCCCTCAAGATCAGTGTCCTACTGTGGCCGGTCTACTACTTCAACTCGATCTTCTGGTTTGGAACTCTCTCTAATCTTTCATCTATTTTTGATCTTCATGAAATATTTAATTGATTCGATCAAATTATACGCTTGTTGATTGCATGAAGTAGTCATGTTGCATTTTAACTCCTAACATTGACGACTTCGTTGTACTAGGTAGTCAGTTATGATCACTGGATTTGTTTTGTAGGCAGAGCCGAGAAAGATGAGCATATACCGCGAAGAGGCAATAGACATGCTCATCTCATGTCTCAGAAATGCGGACTTCCCTAATGCCCAAATTGCTGCTGCTGAGACAATTATGTCGCTGCAAGGGAGGTTTTCCACATCCGGAAAGCCTCTCACCGGGGCTTTCCTTCTCAAGCGTGCCGGCCTTGACAAAAGTTACAAAAGTCGAGTACGAATGGATCAATTTAGCAATTTTTCTGGAGATGACGAAACTCTTGTGAGATTTGCACTGCATTACATGGCTTTTAATATTTCCTTATTTTCGTTTGCTTCGTTTTGGCTACTTGATCATCTTTGCGCAATCCATTTCGTGATAGGTTTACTTTTCTGGTCAACATCAAAAGGAGGAAGAGAAGGCGGCTGATAATTGGGAAAGAAAAATGGCATTTGCTTTAGCAAGCCATGAGTTTGGTCTACTTTTCGAGGCTTTAGCAGAAGGCTTGAAGAGCAGAAACGCAGAATTATGTTCAGTGTGCTTCGTGTCAGCCACATGGCTCGTACACATGCTCAGTGTTCTTCCAGACGCAGGAATACGGGGAGCAGCACGGGTCTTCTTGCTCAAACGTTACGTGTCGATATTCAAATCTGCTAAAGATATTGATGACAAAGCTCTCTCTATGCTTGGGTTGAGCAGCTTCATACAAGATCCTGGTAAGAACCGTTCATTCATCCTTGGGTTTCTGTTCGTATGCATTTTTTACTTTAATAACTTTAAAGTCTTGGATGAATTACATATATATTCTTGACGTTGTGAATGTCAGAGGGCATGCAGGATGTAACTTCTAGCATAAAGGATATAGTGAAGGGCCTGAGAGAGCTTAAGAGATTGACTCCCTTGGCATTTCAAATGCTAAAACTCTTCTCTAAGGGACAAGACTCTAGCGCCGTAAGTTCATAGGAATATTGTGTAATATACCTTTGTTTCTGAAAGACGAAGGACCATGACAAAATTACACGTTCATGTATTGACTACAGCAGGAACTGTGGGATCATAAAGAATTAGCTCAAGTCGACTGCAATGAGAATGGAGAGGTTCTTTCAGTCATTTGCTTCGACGATAAAATATTTTCGGGTCACTCCGATGGAACTATAAAGGTAAATAATTTCTTGGTCTTATTCAGTCTTATATATGGTTTGGTAATTTAAAAAAAAAATGTTTTCAAATTCTGAAGGTATGGACGGGTAAAGGTAGCGTTCTTCATCTCATCCAAGAAATTCGAGAACATATGAAGGCAGTTACTAGCTTGGCAGTTTTGCAATCGGGGGAGGTTTTATATAGTGGTTCACTTGATAGAACTACAAGGGTATGGTCTATTAGCAATGAAGCAATGCACTGTGTAAAAGTACATGATATGAAGGATCAAGTTCATAGTTTAGCCGTCACGAACAGCTTTGCTTACTTCATTCCACAAAGTACTGGTATTAAGGTACTTAAGAGATGGTCATTAGGTTACCGACGAAATTAATTTAACCTACAAAGCAAGATTAACATGAACATGTAACTAATGTGATGCTCGCTACTCGTTAGCAGGTTCATTCATGGAACGGAAGAACCAAATTGTTAAATTCAAGTAACCATGTAAAGTGCTTTGCTCTAGTACACGGAAAATTATATTGTGGATGCAATGACAGTGGTGTTCAGGTACGATTCTTCTGTAGTTATTGTAGTTTAAATCCAGCTATAGCTGTTTTATCACCCTAAACAGACTTGTGTGAAACTTTCAGGAGATTGATTTGGCCACGGGAACACTCAGTACCATTCAAAATGGCACTTGGAAACTACTCACGAAAGCAAACCCTATCCACGTTATTCAAGTTCACAGTGGACTTATATATACAGCCAGTTCTTCCATCGATGGAGCAGCTGTTAAGGTACCTCAGAACATATTACCACGTCAAATTTTCGGTTACTAAAATAAAATCCCAAGATAATTAAGAAAAAGAATGAATATATTCATTTAATCCATTTCTTAGTTACTGAACTGTTCGATTTGTATACCTATGTGAAGATATGGAATGCTGCAAACTTCGACATGGTTGGATCGCTTCCGACTACATTGGAAGTGCGGGCGATGGCCATAAGCTCGGAACTAATTTATTTGGGAGGTAAAGGAGGAAGTGTGGAAATATGGGATAGGAATAAGCAGAACAGAATGGACACCCTACAAACTGGTACCAATTGTAAGGTCCTTTGCTTGGCTCTTGATGCCAATGAGGAAGTTTTGGTCGCTGGAACTTCTGATGGCCGAATTTGGGTAAACATTTTGTCTTTAAACATAAATCTTTACGTACATATACGTGCATGCGTGTCTACGTAGTACGTACTTATTCACGTCTATGCATGTATACATGTTGATCATATTTTCATGATCGAACCTTGAACATTTGATATGTGTATATACGTACACAATAAGTTTAAATGAGATCATTTTCAATTTTTCATGATTTTACCTTGTCAACTAAAAGTAAAACCTTTCTGCTGGTTTGCAGGCATGGGGGCTTAGCTAAGAACAATACCGGGGTGAATTTGGATGGTAATATATTTAGTTGGGAGAGCAGCTGGATATAAATATATACATGCGGATAATTTTTTAGTGAAATTCTCTGTAATATTTTCATGTTTGTAATGCGTTTCGTTGTAGAATTGTATAGAAAACTGACTTCACAGATAAATAAGTTGAATATCAGAGTGCACAACGAATAAGATTACAAAATAATAAGAAACTACATTGTGAATGACTTAATATTCTACGAGCTACAAAACATTATACATCATATATATAGATAAATAACATAATCCTAATAAGTAAGAAAACAAAACCCGAATACTAATGGGCTAAGCCCAAATTCAAATAACAAATAATCCTAAATTCCAACACCCCTGTCAAACTCATGGTGGTACACATTATGAGTTTGCCAACAAGCAGATGTGGATGCAAGCTCCGTTAGGCGGACAAGACAAGACAAGTTCCGTTAGGTGGATACGACAAGGTAAGCTTCGTTAGGCAGACACGACAAGACAATCGCTATTTTTTTCTCCTTTTTTCTTTTTTCCTTTTTTACCTTTTTTTGTTTTCTGGTGGGCGTGATGGCGAGTTTGATGCAGGTTGATGGGTTCAACAAATCTAATCAGGTGGGCTTGGTCGGCATAGCGGCAGATGTGCAGCAGCAGCTAAACTGGGCACACGAGTGTAGCGGCATTTTTCTTTTTTCTTTATGGGCTTTAGTCAATAGCAGCGGCAGGTTGCAGAAAAACTAGGCACACAAGTGCAGGCTGGTTCGACGAAGGTGCGGCTGATTTTGGCAACAGGAAGCAGGTCATGTCGTCTGTGCTTGCGGAAGTGGTGCAGCAGCGAGTGATGGGGTCTGTGCAGGTGTGCAGAGGGTGCTGATGCAGTGCAGGAAACGGTGTGGTGATGCGAATGCTGCTGGTGTTGGATGCTGGTGGCGGCGATGTGGGGATCTAGGAATAGTTCTGAGCAAACATATTCAATTTTTGTTTTCGAACTACGAAACCCCAACCTAGGGCACAACGAGAAAACAAATCACAACGAAGAAGATGACAAGACAAACAAGCTATAGCTACCAATAACAGATTTAACCTCTCGGAGGATCAAACCTGCTCTGATACCAAGTTGAATATTAAAGTGCGGAACGAATAAGATTACAAAATAATAAGAATATTATTAAACAAACTAAAATGTTGAAACGGCTACAAAACCCTAAGAGACTACATTATGAATTACTTAATATTCTACAAGCTACAAAACATCATATATATAGAGTACTAACATAACCCTAATAAGTAAGAAAATAAAACCCTAATATTAATGGGTTAAGTCCAAATTCAAATAACAAAATAATCCTAAATTCCAACATAATAAAGACACAGAAAACTGGCTGCAACTTGCATGCAATATGACTTTCTCGACGGTGTGGGGGGAGAGGAAAGAAACTCGCACGATACTGCAGATGCTATTGATCCATTTTACTATATAAGACATAATAATCTTCGGGTAACGACCCCAAATCTTATTGGAGCTAATTAACTCATGTAATAAAATAATCTTATTGGACAATTGGATTCATTAGCAAGTGGTTAATTATTTCTTTTAGTTTAGATTAATTAGTTGTGATTAATATCTTAAGATTTTATTTTTCATCAATTGTAATATATATTCTTGTAACACTCATCATTTGTTAATAATTGGCATTTCGGTAAGTTTGTTGCAGATTTCGACTCATAGATGTGTTGTGCATGTGGTACGATTCGAGTTGAGAGAAAGTATCGATGCGGTTTATGTGATAGGAAGAGATAGAGAGAGAAAGCCAAGAGGGGGAGAGAGACCTGTAAGATGTTCTTTCTGGAATCAGCTGTGAGATTAATGTACTCTTCCATACCAATCATTGTCATGGAGTTTAATGACTTCGAGAAATGTTAAAGAGATTTTCAAAAGTGAGACTCTCCATAAACTCTTTATCACCTCATGTTTTTTGCACAATGTTTTATAATATTGACACATAAATTGATGTTAAACTGTGAGATGACAGAAAGTTTATAAAAAGTCTCCTTAGTATTACTCTTATGACTTTTCCAAGCCCGGAACCTCCGTGAGTTTGGTCGAATCACTTATTTACAGCTCTATCATATTTTTCGAAAAATTTGGCATTGTTTCTAATGTAATAAAATAATCTTATTCGTTGTGATTTATATCTTAAGATTTTTTTTTTCAATTGTGATCGATATTCTTGTGACACTTCATTTGATAATAATTTGTGCTTCGGAAGATGCATAAGCATTAGGCAATCCGTAAGATTTACCAAAGAAAGTCTTTAAAGATGACCAGAGGATGGGTGAATCTCAAATAAACTCTTAGAGCCTGTTTGGTACTCTATTTGAATCCAACTTTTTAAAGTCAAAAACAATTTTCAAGTTTTAGGCCTTATAAACTTGTTTGGTAGGACTATTTTAAAAAACTGAACTCAAGGCTAACTAAAAAATATAGTCTATTATCTAAAAATACAATAAATGAGTTTTTAGAGTTTTTAAACTTAAACTCACTCATTTTTTTTCTCTTCCTCCTCCCCTCTCACTCCAAAACTCACTCATTTATTTTCTCTCCCTCCTCCACTCTCACGCCAAATCTATCTCTCTTTTCTTCTTTCTCTCTCCCCCTTCTCTTTTTATTTTTATTTTTTTCGTCTCTCCTCCAATCTGCTCTCTTCATTCTCTCAGTTCTTTCTCTCAATCCTCTTCCTCTCTATCTCCTCCGATCTTCTCACTTCTTTCTTTTTCCTCCAATCATCTCTTACTTTCTTTCCTCTTCTCTCCTCTTTCTCTCTCGACCCCCTTTTTATGAATCTTTTTGTTCAGTTTAGATTGTAAGATTTAAAATTTTTAAATCGCATACCAAACAAGTTTTTGAGTCTTAAAAGAAAATTGTTTTCAAGAAAAATTCTTAAGAAATGTTTTGAAAAATTATAAAAAATTTCAAATAGGATACCAAACAAGCTCTTATAGCCTTCGAATATCAATTCTTCGAGATTTCAAGAGGAGGATACGTTCAAAAAAGAAGAAGAAAGAATTCGATCCACACTAATAACCATCGATATTGTCTTCAATTTAATCACCAAGTGTAGGGTACAAAAGACCTCATGCAATGTTTATGTCATGTTGACATGGGACCCAACTTATTGAGACTATAAAGAAGCTTGTTTGGTTGATTATTGTACTAGGTCTTCAAACAGAAGCCCCTTTTGGATGCCACAACCACAATGTTAGTTAATCACATGGCCGTGGAAATCGCAGTACAAAAAGCACTAAAAGCGTCCAAGTGAAAGTGCTTTCCTCTCATCCGGTTTCATTTTACGTATTTTCCACAACGGTAAATATATTTCAATGGTTCCGCTTTCGCATGCCAGTCAGTCACACACTCAACTCCTCAACGTTCGGGCTCAATGGCTCGAAGAGAGCTTCCACTTCACTCCGATTCACCTCCTCTAACTTTGCCGGGTTCCACTTTGGATTCTGCATTGACAAGAAACGGAAGCCAAAGATAAAGACCCGTTCTGACATACGGAAAAGTAAGATGATTATATAACTGTAGAGGCTGTAATTGTTTATGTTGCAGCAACTCCGTCAGCAAGTGATTTTCAAAAGGAAACTATATAATTCGGATGATTAACTCAAGGTTCTCCACCATAATCCTAATTTCAAGAATTCCGCACTGTTTTGCCATTTTATAGTAAGGAATCTTGAGCATAATTAACGAACCTGATCCTTGTCCACCAAAACTGCCCGCACACCTTCAGCAAAATCATTCCTCAAAGACGATCTTACAGCAACGCGATATTCAGTTTTCATCACACCAGTTAACTGGTATTGGTCAAGTAAAGCAACATGTAACTATCAGAAAATGTGAAATAGTGCAACACAAAACCTATCAAAAGGATGCAACCATGTGATGAAAGAAACGAAAAGGTACAAAGTCCAGACTCACTGTGGATAATTGATTGTCATTTTTCCCAAGCGCAGATGCAACTTTGGAGAAATAATTTTGTGTCAAATAAAGTGAAAAAGGAGCACCCTTTCCAAGACCTTGAAGAGCTTCATTAGCCCACTCCACCACTTCAAAAGAAACAATTTGATAGAAAATACTTCACAGCGACAACAAGCCTCTCAATAGAAGAGTATGACAGATTTCATTTCATTATCAATAAACAAATGGCATTGACAAACTTACCAGTAGCATCTGAACTCTGCTGCTGCTTTTTAAGTTCATCAATTGTCTCAAGAACCGACTTATTTGCACCAAATGCTGAAGTTATTCGAGGTAAAAGATTCTTGAGTTGCGCTTCAGAATCTGGGTTGCTGCTGAATTTTGCCACAGCTGTTTCAACGTCCTGATGGGGATCCTGGGAACTGCAATCAACAATGGAGCTGCTTTTATCTTGCGATGATGCCAATTAAAGTTAACCCCACTAAAGCATTGGAAATTTGAACCAAAAGAAAAAAAATAATGAATTTAAAGAGAAGAGAAACATACAATTTGGTAGACAAAAGGGCCTCCTTTAAAGAACCTAAGTTTTGAGATGGGACAAAATGTGTCCCAAGACCCACATATAGTGCATCCGATGGTGTTGAAATCCTTTTCCCAGTAAGTCCAAGATAAGCACCTACAAAGACATCACAGTGTTAAAACAAACACAGAACTAAGAATTGATTCATGAAGCAAACAGAGAAATTGTATAGGCTATTCTCTTTATATTCTTATAATCTAAACAGTTTCTCCTTATTAATGAAATACTTTAGTAAAAATATCTAGTTTTTATTTACTTTCTGATAGAAAAGGCATACCTACAGATCCTCCTCCAGGACTCTTTGCCGCTATATGTGAAAACCCAACATCTGGGAACAAACCAATTCCATTCTCTGGCATAGCAAGAACAGTCCTCTGAAATGTATCCACACAAAGTTAGACACGCAAACCATTGCAATGTAATTGACAACATTGACAATCTCTGTCTGACAAGGCAATCATACCTCTGTAATGATCCGGTAGCGACCGTGACCTGATAGGCCAATACCAAAGCCCATTGTTATGCCATCCATGAAGCTTATATAGGGCTTCTTGTACTCAGAGATTTTGCATATTAGAGAATACTCAGCAGTGAATACCTGAAAAACGTGCAGCACAAAATCATATCGGTAGCCTCTCAATCTTAAGAAAACTACAAATGGTAGCTTAAAAAAGAAATGAATCCTATCCAACCAATAGAAATCATATTACCCAAGTTCAAGCAAAATCAAGACTAAACAAATGATCAGATGTTGTAAGTTGTCTGAAAATGTCAAAACATGAAATTACAAAAGAAAAAAAAATATTCGTATGTATTGAACACTAATAAATACATGCTGAAAGCACAATGTTAGCCGCAATTTATGACATTTACATGAGATTGAATCACCAAATCAATTAAAGAAATAGCAGAACCCATATAAGTGATTTTCACCTTGAATTTTTAGGTCTATCAACAAACACATTATTACAATTCTAATGCATGAATTTTGTTAAAAGGGGCTTGCTTTGCTTGTATAAGGCTTAATCATCAATGATTTTGCAAGGGTCAATGTATTGCTAGAATTCTATTTCACTATGAAAATTACCAAAATTATATCTAATATGGTAGTGGAGGGAGTCATCTTATATTATCTGGATTTTGGCAAACTGTGTAAGGATATAAATCTGTTATTGTATATAGTTAAAAGGACACTATTAAACCTCAATCATATCCGGTAGTTGGTTTTTGGCCGTTATCTGCTTCACATCACCGCCTGCAGGTAAACTAAAATCTGGGTTATTACTTATCAAAGAATCAATATGCCATCTTAACGGACACCGTGTATCTCTATATGGCAAAAATGCAACACAAAAAGGAACAATGAAGGGAAACAAGAAACAACATGACACGAAACAGCATGAACATCAAGGACCAACAATCTATCATGTAAGCACCTAAACAAGAAACAATTCTAGTTCAAGGCAAAGCGTAATGTAGAAACCTTAGGCACAAGAGGTGTGTTTTTGTCCTTTTGAATTTCGGCAACAACCCCTTTAATATCCATTCCTGCATTTACCATGATTGGTCACTCTCAAAACCTTACCTAAGAGACCCAAAAACAAAAATAACCGCCGAAAGAGCTAAACCTACATCTCTAGAAAAACTTATTTAGCTACATGTTAAAATGGAATTGTAAAATTGCCAAGAGAGAAACTATTCAAATACGGATTCTGGGCATTACCGGCACAAAAGGCACGAGCCGAGCTGCTATCAACAAGAACACACTTCACATTTGGGTCAGATTCCCATTCATCCAGATAGCTCTTGTATATCACATCCATATCTGCATTTTCCAACAATTCCCACTTAAACAGGAACACAAAATTCTTCAAAAAAAAGCCAACTTCTTCGAAATTTCAATCCAACATTTCGTCTCATCACAAATGCAATAACACAGAATTCAAGCTCAAGTATTTAAATCAGCTCCAAATCAAAAGCATTTACAGATACATGCGTGTTTGTGTATGTGTGTGTTTATCCACATACCTAGGTTCATGGCATTGAGAGCTCGGGGGCGATCCAGGGTGATGACGGCGACGCCATTTGGGTGGACGCTGCCCTTGACGAACTCGTCCGCGGAGGCCATGATCGCGAAGGTGCGGAGAAGGCGAGGGGATTTGGACCCCGGTTCGCAAAGAGAGAGCTTCCAATTTGGATTGAGGAAGAAGAAAGCGGACGACGATTTGCTCAGAATTTGGGTCGCTCCGCCGAACAAACTTCGCATTGCTTCGGTTTGAGAGTGACTGTGTCAATGTAGAGAGAGAGAGAGAGAGAGAGAGAGAGAGAGAGAGAGATTGATGGTGCTTCTGGACCGGATTGCCCTTGATATTTCGGTTAATTACAGGGAAAAAAGAACCGCCGCGGTGGCTACGCAGAGAAGGCTGTGGGAGTGCAGTGGCGGGCAGTGATTGATTGGAGATTTCTGCGTGGCGGGAGGGTGTTAACGGTATTTCATGTACGACCAGAATGTATGGCTAGTTATTGGGCCAGCTAAATCTAAAAGTGAAGCCCAATTTAAGAAATGATTGTTAGCCCAAAACTTGAATGTCCATTGGTTCAGCTGGAAAAGACAGAACTAGCCCAAAATCTTGGTTGGGTAGATCTCTTTTTACTTGTACTTTCAATAGTTGTAATTTCACAAGATGATTTGCTACTCGCTTGTTGAGGCTGAAACAAAACAAATAATTTGAAGGATGATGTAATTTAGTCTCACACGTATGCGGAAATAACTTATAAAATAAAATAAAAGTTTCACCACACACGTAAGCAGAAAAAAACTTACAAAACAAATAAAAGTTTCATCACACGTACATGTCAAATTGTGATTGACGTGTACATGGCCCCCTTTTTCTAGTATTTTGATACAAACGATATGCAAGAATTAACAAATCAAACATAGAATCTCAAGTGCATAAACAAATACACTTGAGCTATAAACCCCTTGCAGCGGACATTTCTTTTTCACCATACAAATTATTCTAGCTACCTAGCTACTACTTACTTACCTAGAGAAATTAACTAATTAACATCATCAGCATATATAATCTTAAGGATCATGATCAAATTTAAGGCCCAAGACTTTTCCAAGCACATCAAGAAGCTCAAGGTGGGCAGTCAACTGTGGGAAATGCCCATTTGTATTCATAATCTCGACATTAGAGTTTTCCTTCATCTTCTTCTGCATGTAGAACGCAACCGTTTTTGGAGCAGCCATGTCGCTGCTGGTGCTGACGATGGTGCATGGAGTCGAGACCTTGTCGATAACGTCTCTATGGTCGCTGTAAAAGACGGTTTTGGCCAAGGCGAGGGCAACTTCAGGCCTCATTCTCTGCAGGCACTTGGCGAATTTTTCGACAGAGGGAGGGTCATTTGTGTCCACAGCAAGTGTGGCGAAGTTGGCCGCCCAGTTGTGATAGTTGGATTCTATGGCTGAGATGATTTGTGTAATATCTGACATCTCAAATCCACCTTCATAGTCATCTGTATTTATATACCTACAAATATATATATTTATGTTGAAATTAATGATTTCTTTCTTCAAATAATTGTGGACCCAAAAATGTATTTTGTGTAGAGACAATACAGAGTAAAGGCAATCCATTATATATATATATATATATATATATATATATATCACTGATATTAATTAATGGCTTATTAAATTAACACCCACAAATTGTTGAATAGAACCCCACATTTGCATTTTCAATTAAAAATTATCTTAATACACCCAACATACTTTCCCATAATACTCTCACACCCCATATTCTTAATATACACCTTATATTTTCTACATGCATCCCCGTATTTTCTATACACCTCATATTTCTCAAATCTTATAAAGCTTTTAATTTGGACAAAAAATACCAACTGGAATTTTGACAAAAGATGCCGCCTGGGATTTAAAGCATATGTGGGTTGTTTTCAATTCCACCATTAAAACCCATGTCTTCAGTTTTTAATATTTAGTGGTAATTTTAGGTGTTTAATTATTCATGTAATCCTGTGATCCCTAAAAGATGAATACGAACATAGAAGCTTGAATAACACATCAAAAGTAAGATTAAATCATTATCGATGTCGTCAAAATCACTAAAACAATAAAAATATGAAGTCTTACCTCATGTGAAGCTTCTGAAACATTGATTTCGTGTTTCATTCGTCAAAAATAATTTTTCTCAACCAACATGTTTGTAGTTTCATTGGTTAAGGTTTTGTTCAACAATGGAGAGTTGGAAGGGTTTTGATAGTTGAGAAAAATAAATAATACGTTAAAAGTGATTTGGGATGTATATAAAATATTTATTTTTAACCTAATAAGGTCAAAATTATCATTGCATAGTAGAGTAAATAAGTTATTTAATACTAAATTTTAATGTGATCACAAATAATGTGATCACAGACATTTTGTGAGGTGCTAATATAAAAAGTCTTAATTAATTTGCGATCACAAATATAAATACATATGTATATATACAATGTTTCTCTCTACGGACCTTATGTCGGTCTTTAGTGCGGATGTCTATAACGGTGGCCAGACTGTTCTTTTTGGTCAACTAACAATATAATTTGTTTCATTCTCAGTCGATCAGCACAAATGTCTCGCTTCAATTTTAGGTTTTATCGTTCGTGTTTTGGGCACATCCGCACGAAATCTGAACATATTAACGTTTGGATAAGAGAGTTTTATATATAATTAATTGGATATTTGTAGTGTCTAACCACAAAAAATGGGACAAGGATAGAATTAAAATGATGGAGAAAACCTTGAACAAAATAACTAGCCTAGCTAATTAAATAGCTATGTATATGATTGAATATTCAGTGAAAAAAAACAGAAGAAAATGAGAGAGAGAAAGTTGTATATAAGAGTGAGAAAGTACCTAGGAGAAGCTCCAATGAGGATGAGGGAGTTAAAGAGGTCAGGTCTTTTAACTGAAGCAATGCATCCAATCATACCAGACATGGAATGACCAACAAAGACAGTAGATTTTAGGTTAAACTCGTCTAAGAGAGCAATTAGGTCAAGGGCAAATGCGTCATAGGAGGAATATTTCCCAGCTGGATCAAACAGTTTCAGGTTATCACCATCCTTATTATTCACAGCGCCGGAGAAGGGCCAGTCGAAGACGAGAACACGGTAATGCTGAGACAAGTAAGGCAGGATTTTGTCCCACACAGACTGGTCTCCTCCGTAACCATGTGCTAAAACCACCGCTTCGCCGCCCGACCCCACGATTTTTGCGTTCATGGCGGTCGAAAGGGTCTTTTCTAGCACCATTTTTGTGGTTTTTTAATGAAGCAAACTAACAAAGAAAGAGAGAGAGGGAGAGGGGGAGAGAGTGAGAGAGAGAGACAGAGAAAGATTGGATGGGGGTGGCTAGAACAAATTGTGTTTTGGTAGTGTTTTACTCTATGTGCTGGTCCTAGCTATAGTCACTCCATTATATAGGGCCAAGGAGTGGATTAATTATTGGGAAGATGAAGATAAATAGGAAGACTTAGTGTGGTTAATGATTGAGATGTGTATTGCTTGGTGAATAAATAGCATGTTCTATTTGACCAGATATTGGTTTTAGCATGTGTGAAATTATTGCATATAGTTTTTTGTGGTTAGAGAGCAGCATTGTTGATGGTTAACTGATGATATATGTAGTAGTGATTTACCATTTCCTTAATCCTTATTTTATTTTGGAATCACCCCAAAGTAGATATATGGAATTTTGTTAAGTAGTACATCACTATAAAATAAGGAGATTATGCTATGTAATCGGGGTCATACACTTCGTGTAAAAAAATTTCATCATGTTATGTTAGTTGTAGATACAAGAAGATATATTTGCGGTTGTATGTAAGAATTTCTCATAAATTAGAGATGCATGTTTAAGGAACTTCACTTCAACAACTCTCATTAGCTACACTCATTATGTGATTACAGTTATAGATATATAACGATATATTTTCTATTGTATGTAAGACTCTCTTGTAAATTAGAGATGCGTATTTTAGGAACTTCACTTCAACAACACTCATGAATCATGATTATGTAATGCATGTTGAAAATCAATCTCATGAGCCACGCTAATACATAAAACTAATCCTGATTTGACCACTTAGCAGGCTGATTAGAACACAACAGGAACAAGATTTGAAGAATTTATGGCGGCTGTTGGGGTCATTTAGTGCATGGCCTTGACTTTTTGTTCCTTTTACTTACTAATTGAGATCGAGTTAGGTCAATAATACTATCAAATGAAGTAAGCATGACCGCAAGAAATCGAAGAGAGAAAAGATGAAAAACTAACTTTACTGGTAGAATCTAGTATGTATGGTACTGCGGAGATTTTAAGAACATGCCCAAAAGGAGCCATTTGTATTTTTATGTTGAGAGAGAGAGAGAGAGAGAGAGAGAGAGAGAGAGAGAGGGGGGGGGGTTGGGATAAGTCCAAGGCCTACCTTTTTCTGCCATTAAAGCTGGCAGACCCCACGACCACGTTCTTCCCATTCCTTATCACAATTTTAAACCAGATATACAGGTACATGCATTGCATACCGATCATCAAGACATGAACTGTTATATTCATCGATGTTATGTTTTAATCTACTTTTTGGACAACCGATAGGATATTTATAAATGGGATACAGTAGCTGGCTTCAGTTGGTTGGAGGAGCTTGTATCGTTTGTATGTTCAATTCTTATGAAAGCGATCGAAGACAATATATGATTGTTGTGCGTAGTGGTTAATTGTAATACACTATAGTGACGTAACTTTTTCACTAATAAAACAGAATATGCAAATTCAATATGTGGCCACAATAATCTGATTGTAACTAATTAATGGGAGGGCCACTAGACTTTCTATATATTATGGACAGATCCTAGCAATGGATTTTGTAATATTTTCCAGCAGATTTGGAGAAGATTCTTTGGTCAAAGTAAATAGTAAAATGGAATAAAATAGAAACATAACGAGATTGAGAGCTCCCGAAAAGAGTGGATAATTGTGGCTTGCCACCAATTGTCATCCTTTAAATAAATAAAAAAAAAGGGTAATGTTAGACCATCTCCAACCAAAGGATTCTTATCATCTCCAACCGAGGGCCAAAGGGCCATATGACTCGTTTTAGCCCTGTCACAAAAAACCGTCTCCAACCGTGGACTAAAATGCTATAGTATGAAACGTGAGGAATTGAAATAAAATAAGATAAGATAATATGAAATGGTGAAAACGTCCAAAAAAATAAAAGTGGGCTAGGCATAAAAAAAAGAGTGGGCTGGGACAAATCCTAAAGTGGGTTGGACAAATAGAAAAGAACAAAAAAATAAAATAAAATAAGTGGGCTAGCCAGCGCGTTGGCTGGCTGGCTGAAGATGGCCAACCAATTGGCCATTTGGCCATTT